TCGTATAGCCCCCATATAACGGTACCTCCCGATATTCGGAATTTAGAGGATTTTAGCGTCATTTTTCCCGGAAGTAATTTAAAATTTGGTATTTGAAGGTCAAAATGGATACTACACCCTAAGACAGAAAATTGTCTGTGCAGGTCCACGTATTCATATAGCCCCCATATAACGGTACCTCCCGATATTCGGTATGTTGATAATTTTAGCGAGATTATTCACGGGAATTGTTTCAAATTTGGTATTTGGAGTTCAAAATGGATACTACACCCTAAGATAGAAAATTGTCTTTGCAGGTCCACGTCTTCGTATAGCCCCCATATAACGGTACCTCTCTATATTCGGTATTTTGATGATTTTAGCGACATTATTCACCGGAATTGTTTCAAAATTGGTATTTGAAGTTCGTAATTGGAACTACAGTCTGTGACAGAAAATTGTGTATGCAGGTCCAGGTCTTCGTATAGGCCCCATATATCAGTACCTCCCTATATTCGGTATTTTGACGATTTTAGGTAAAATACCTACCGAAATTGTTTGAGATGTGGTATTTGAAGTTCGTAATGGATGCTACAGCCTGTGACAGAAAATTGTCTATGCTGGTCCAGGTCTTCGCACAGCTCCAATTTAACGGCACCTCCTTATATACGATATTTTGATGATTTTAGCTACATTACTCACCGTTTATTTCAAGTTTCGAATTTGAATATGGTAATGGCTTATGACAAACAATGCCTATGTATGTCCACGTCGTATAGACCCAACATAACGGCTATATTCGGTATTTTTCAAATTTTAACAGAATTTTTTAAGGATTTTTTTTTTAACTTCCAAATTCGTTACAAATGGTGGGGGGTATTAAAAGTTCGAACTTACTGCTTTTTAACTTGTTTTAATATAATCCTTCTCGAAGAAATTAAAATGTCTCCGTCAAATTTAGTGAAAATCGATTCAGAATTCGATGTGACTCCCATATATTAGTTTCCTCTGATATCAAACTATAACTACTCCAAAGCCAAATGTTGATAGGTGGGGTGATCAACTTCAAATAAATTGTTACGGGAGTGGTGTAGGGTATTATATAGTCGACCCCTTCCAACTTTTGACTTTTCCTTGCTGGGTTTCTTTTTTTTATAGAATAAGAATTTAGGGCCAGCTCAATCTAAGTGAACAAATTATTTAACAAAAAAATATTCAATATTATAGCCTTTTACTGGATTTGAAAGTCCTTGTAAATACCCAACCATCAATTCATAAATCGACAAAACATTGACCTAAACAAGTTTTCAATTATGTTAACCACAAAATACATTTGGGTACACATTTTCCCAGTGCGCGTATGGCACAATAACCCAATAAAACTTACCTGTTATTCCATTTTACAGCACAAAACCGCAAATTATTGTAAATGCAGTTATTATGTCTCTCTTAGCCACCAAGCTCGCATCGTGGCTGACATGCCAATAGTTTGGCCATTGGCATGAACAAAAAAAAAGTTTTTTCTTTTTCAATTGCAATTTGTTAGTTTTATTCGGGGGAACGTTTATTTAATTTGTTAAGTTTAGAAAAACATGTAGGCGAGGGAGGAGCAAGCCTGGCGATGAGAGCCAACACTTGACATGTGTCTGTTTGTTGGCTTGTTGGGCCGGCACGATTATGTCTCTGTGTCCATTCAAACATTTCCCTCCTCCGATGAGTGCGTGAGTTCACATTTATGAATAGAGAGAAAAAAGTCAAACGGAATGAATGAGCGAATGAATGAATGAATTCAACGGAATGTGAAGCACCGACACGTATGAGTGATAAGCAGTAAAACCTCATCGTCATAACTCATACGTACCGGATGCTCAGATTTTTTTTATTTTCACTTCAGTGGCTATAAATAGAACAGAATAACATGAAAAAATCAACGATGAAGAATATTAATAGTCAAACATAAAAAAAAAAAAAAATTATAACTAATGAAAATGCATAAATATTTGTGTATCTATGATGTTTAGTGGAGGATATTTCATAGTTGTGTACATACATTAAACTGTTTTTTCTTGAATTTTGTTTGTTCAATCAGTTTTATTAATGAAATTGTTGGATTTTCATAGTATTTTATGAGATTAATTTTTCACTATGTTTTCATTTTTAACAATATTTTAGGAAGTAATTTGAAGTTGTATTATTTGATTTTATTCAAAACTTTTGTAAGTGGATTTTTTATTCAATATTTTCTGTGAAGGAAGTTCGGAGGAATAACAATGGAGTTTTTTTTAATATGTTAATTAGCCAAAAATTGTGGATTTATTTAAATTTTTTTAGAAGGCCATAATATGCGTAATATATACATATGATTGTCCAATGTGAAGATGAAGTGGATAGTGCTTGAATTTTGAAAGTCGTGACTTTTAACACTATAATCTTGAAATTTCACCTGTAGGTTACTATTCGCACAAGGTTTCAGATAAGGTAATGATTTGGACATCTGAAGAACATAGGGTACTAAAATGTACTAAATTTGGTGTTTTGAAGGGTAAATTATATAATGTTAGAGTTAAATTCCTCATAATTCGATTGATCATCATTTGGTAACAGAGTTTTGTACTAATAAGGTAAATAAAAGTACAAAATATTACACTTTTAGGGCTGTAAATCTGAATTTTATTATACTTAAAATAGTAAAAGATTGGTGGCTGATTGCTTCATTAAAGCCCAGAGACTAGATTCATAAACTTTTAGAGTTCTTGGAAATTCGTAACAAAATACTGGGTGAGATGAAAAAACTGCAACCAACTTCAGACTGCTGTAATTTCTAAGCCACTCGTCCGACAGCTGTTAAAATTATTCCAGTTACAGCTCATTATATTGTTTACAAGCGTACAAAAGCATTTGGGTGAGAATTTTCCAGAAAAACAGTTATTCGTGAAGGAAATTTATGCGTGATATTGTGATTTCCTTATATTTGGCAGGAAAACCACAAGTGGATATCGTTTGAGCACTCCAGAATTTAAATGTGAATAAATCTTTTGTGTCTCGTACCATCGCTCGTTACCGTGATACTGGTAGCGTAGCCCGACGTGAAGTGTACGGAAGCAAACAGCAACATAAGCAGAAATGGTTCGAAAAGTAAAGAAGCGACTTGATCGAAACCCGCGTCGCAGTGGCCGAAAAATGGCTCGTGACCTGAACATATCGCAATATTCCATTCGGCAAATATTGAAAAATGAGCTCGGGGTAAAGCCATTGAAATTCCAAAAAGGGCAAGAACTTACACTGCAACAGAAAGAAAATAGACACAAAAAAACTAAAGAGTTGCTTCGCTTGGCCGATAGTGGTGAACTGCCGAATTTGGTTTTCTCCGATGAGAAAACATTCGTCGTCCAGCAGTTTGTAAACAAACAAAATGATCGTGTTTACTTGCAAAAGAGGTCATCTGAAAATGAGCATCTTCTTTCGGTTGGCCACCAGAACTCAAGCGCCAGCTATGGTGATGGTGTGGGCCGTCAAAACAGCCTCCGCTCGTATTAATCGACCGTGGCATCAGAATAAATGCCGAATATTATCGCGAAAATATTCTGGAGGGTGTATTAACGCACAATGGCCACCAAAATCTCCGGATACCAATGCGTTGGACTATTGTCTCTGGAGTACTTTGTAAAGCAAGGTTGGCACTAAAATATACCAAAGTGTCGATCTCTTCAAGCAAGCGCTTTGCCTTGAATCGGCCTAAATACCGCAGAGCAATATTTCGGGCAGCGTGTGACGGTTTCATTGTCCGTTTGAAGGCTATAATTCGTGCCAAGGGTGACCAATCCGAACAAATCTAAACTTATTCTAAAATTTGATGCTATTTCCGACATTTTTTGCTTTAGTTCAATAAGATTTTAAAAAATGTAAAAATTATGGCGATTGACTTTATTGCAGCTTTTTATCTTACCCCGTACATTTTGGGTGATATCCGACGTCCGTCTGTTGTAATCACGCTATCTTTCGATCGAATTGAGATAGAAGGCTAACATTTTGCATACACGTATAGTTTACCAATAGGCAGGTTGAGTTCGTAAATGGGCCATGTCGGTCTACGTTTTCGTATAGCCCCCATATAATGGTACCTCCCGGCATTTGGTATTTTCATAATTTTAGCGATATTATTTACCGGTATTATTTCAAATTTCGTATTTGAAGTTCGTAATGAATACTACAGGCTATTTATATCGTATATCCACCATATAACGGTTTTCATTTAAGTGGTAGTTTTCAGATTTTTTTATTTTTTGGTAAAGTTTGGCCCGGCCCGGCTTGTTAATATTTTTGGGGTCATAGTTGTTGATTTTGTACATCATATTTTGAGGCCATAATTTTAAATAATATTTTTTATTATGGATTTTAATATTTTGGAGAACTTATCATGGATTTTCAATAACATTTTTCGAGCATTTTCTGTAATATTTTTTTAAAGTCATAGAAAAATAAAATTTTATAATTTTTTTTTGGGTTTTTAATAATATTTTTAAGCCTTTATCTTGGATTTTTGGTAACATGTATTGAGCATCACTAAGATTATGATGTCGGATTGCTCGACAATATTTTTAAGGTTATAGTTTTGGATTTTAACAATAGATTTGTGGCCATAATTTTGGTTTTTTTCCAAAATATTTTTGGAGGCCAAAGTGACGGATTTTTAATACATTATTTTTAGGCCATAATCGTAGATTTTTAGTACTATTTTTGAAGTCATGATCGTGAAGTTTTCGTATTATTTTTTGAGAGGTATTAATTATATTTTTGGTGGTCACAATCTTGCATTTTATCTTTACTGATTATTTTTGCCTATCCCTCCTAAAACTCAACAAAAGTTTTTCACTCCAAGCCTAGTGCTCTATTAATAATTGTTTATTCTTGTCACATTTTATATTAAACAAAATATGTATTTCAATTAAATAACAATTTCATGTTTACTCAATTAATTTTAATTGTTATTGCAATGTTTGTTTTCCTGTTTTTATTTTCAGGTGAAATCCTTGATAAATCCATCGGAAAGCAAGGTAAGCTATGCCAATATCCTTCAACAATATGTTTGTCCAATAAAACAGAGCAAAACACAAAAACATGGATCTATTGAATTTTCAAAAATTAATAATGATAACTACAATGATGTTGTTGTTGCTGCTGTTGTTCCCACTCGTTGAGAACATTTAATTTACGCTAAGGTCACGTTCGCCTGTGGCAATGGGCGTGTCGTTGTATAAAGCTGCCATTTACATGGAAACCCATTCGCTGCGTCCATTGGTGTTATAAGCCAAATAAGTCATGCCGAGTTTTAATTAAAAGCTAATAAATAATCATCATCAGCATCATCATTTCAACAACATATTTATGGGTCTCCATATCTCGTTAGATTGCGAGTGAAATACGCTGTGTAGGGAGATGATGAAAATGAATTGAAAAATTATATCATATGGTGTAACATTTGCTGGCTGCTGCAACGCATGAGGACTCTAAAGGTCATGGGAGTATTTAATTTGCAAAATGAATGAAAGGGACTTTTTTTAATAATGAAATATTTTTGGTGGAAACATATTAGTGTGACATTGATGTAGGATTTTTTGGGAAATAGAAAGATTCATTTGGCTGAAAATCAGGGCATTCTATTACACTGGGGAAGGGTGGTTTTGTGCAACACTAAAATATGATCTTAGATTAAATGTTATTTGCAAGGAGTTCAACAACTTACTGAGAACCCGAAATGCAAAATCAATGTTGATTTATATATAGTTATATCATATTTTTAGAGGTATAGTCCCCATATAACCGTAACTCCCGATATTCGGTATTTTGATGATTTTAGCGAATTTATTCACCGGAATTGTTTAAAATTTGATATTTGAAGTTCATAATGCTTACTACAGCCTAAGACAAAAATAGTCCGTGCAGGTCCAGGTCCTTCGTAGAACCCCCATATAACGGTACCTCCCGATATTCGGTATTTTAATGATTTTATGGACATTTTCCACCAGAATTGTTTCAAATTTGCTATTTGATGTTCGTAATGGATACTACAGCCTATGACAGAAAATTTTCTGTGCAGGTCCACCTCTTCGTAAAGCCCCCATATAGCGGTACCTCCCGATATTCGGTATTTTAATGATTTTAGGTACATTTTTCACCGGAATAGTTTCAAATTTGCTATTTGATGTTCGTAATGGATACTACAGCCTACCACAGAAAATTGTCTGTGCAGGTCCACGTCTTCGTAAAGCCCCCATATAACGGTACCTTCCGATATTCGGTATTTTGATTTTATCGACATTATAATCGATTTTTTTTAAGTTTCGAATTTGAATATTGTAATGGCTTATGACAAATGTTACCTACGCAGGTTCATGTCGTCGTATAGACCCTAATATAACAGCTACATTCGGCATTTTTAAGATTTTAACAGAATTTTTAACGGATTTTATTGTTTTTGAGAATTGTCAGATTCGTTCCAAATGGTGGAGGGTATTCAAAGTTCGGCACGGCCGAACTTACTGCTTTTTAACTTGTTTTTTTTTAATTTTATTGAATGAAAGCAAAAAATATCGGAAATAGCATCAAACTCTAGAATAAGTTTAGATTTGTTCGAATTGGTCAAATTTGACATGAATTATGGCCTTCAAACGGTCAATGAAATCGTCACCCTCCACAATATTTTCGCGATAATATGCGGTTTTTATTCTGATGCCACGGCCGAGTAATATGAGCGGAGAGCGATCTTCGGCTGTTATGGCGGCCCACACCATCTCCATGGCGGCGCTTCAGTTCTGGTGGCCAATCGAAGTGGCTTTGAAATGACAGCAGTCTGAAGTTGGTTGCAGTTTTTTTTTCATTTCTCCCTGTATTGTTATATTTTCAATAGGATTATAATTCACAGATCTATCCCATATAAGTAGCTCAATTTTTATTATAAACTAGCACCCTTCACCCAGTATCCAATTAAGTACCACTAAGTAGTTTTCGAATAATTATAGTGCATATTTACCAAAGCACCTTCATATCTCAACCTCAGATACCAACAGAGACATCAAATTCAAATTTTAAGATTTCAGCTCTTTTCCGTCACCCAATAACAAATTGAGTTCTATTTAGTACTTTTCGTGCACTTGCAGTACACATTACCAAAACCACCCTTAACATCTCAATTCCTGATACCAACAAAGACCTCAATATCAATTTTAGTACCTTCACAAAATTCCAAATTTAGTACCATTTAGTAATTTTCCTACAAATAAAGGGCGCATTTCCAAACATCCGTCAAATCTCAAACCGAGATACCATCAGTAATTCAAATATCAAAATTTAAGAATTTTATATCTATTCCTTTATCAAATTCCAAGCAGGGGTCAATTCAGTACTTTTCGTACAATTATAGTACACATTTCCAAAATCACCTCCATATCCAAATTACAGTCACCAACAGTGACATCTATATCCAATTTCCGGTTTTCTGCTCTATTCCTTCACCCAATACAGTACACATTTCCAAAACCACTTCCATATCTCTATTTACGATACCAGCCGAGACCTCAGTATGAAATTTGAGTATTCCAGCCCTAACCCTTCGACCACTACCGAATTTAGTACCATTTAGTTCTTTTTGTACAAATAGAAAACGAATTTCCAAACCACCGCCAAATCTCAAACACAGATACCATAAGTAGTCCGAATATCAAATTTCAGAATTTTATTTCCATTCCTCCATCAAATATGGTACCATTTAGTACTTTTAACCTCCATATGTCCAGGGTATACATTAACAGTGACTCTAATATCAAATTTCAGATTTCAAACACTATACCGTATTTTACCAAATATAGTACTATTTAGTACTTTTCATACACTTGTAGTACTCATTTACTAAGCCACTTCTTTATCACAAATCTACCACCAACATGGATCCCAATACAAAATTTCAAAATTCCACCTTTATCCGTTCATCCTAAACCAACTTGTTCCAAATTCCGTACCATTTAGTACAGTGTGCAATTAATACACACTTCCAAAACCACCTCCATATATCAAATTTACTTTTAACCTCGATTCTCAAATCAAATTTGCTCTATCCCTTCAATCAAATCAAATTTGCTCTATCCCTTCACATTATACCAACTGGTACCAAGTTAGAAGTTTTGTATTATTTTAAAACTTTTCGTAAAATTTGAATTTAAAAAAAAATCCCTTTGTTACATCTATTCTGCACTTTATAAGTGACTCTTATTTCAAATTTAACTATTCTAGATTTTCATGAATATTCATGAAGCTCATAAAATACAAAATTAACATCCCATTCCATTTAGACTATGCGCATGTCAATATTTCCATCAACACAAGATCTTTTATAAAGATGGTAGATATCGGACCATTTCTTCTGGTATCGCCTCAACAAAAGGTTAAAATTTTGAATAACCAACACGATCATAAAATAGCCATCCGGTTCTCTTTAAACTACACGCATCACAATATTTTTATTAACCCAAGGTCTGGTGTGAAAATGGAATATTTCGGGCCACCCCTTCTGGTACCTCCCCCACAAAAGGTTGACATTTTGAATATTCATGAAGCTCATAAAATACGAAATTAACATCCGATTGCATTGAGACTTAATACATTGTAATATTTCCAATAACATAAGATCTGTTATAAAGATGGTAGAGATCGCACCATTTCTACATAGGTTTCAAGATTTTGAAAAACAAAACGCTCAAAGAAAGCCAAATAAGCATCAAAATCAATCCTTCCATCTCTTAAAATTTTCCTCATACAAACATTTTTTCTAACACAATATCTGTTGTGAAGATGATATACGTCTGCCAACCCCTTCTGGCACCTCACCCACAAAGGGTCATAATTTCCACTACCTATATCTGTCATAAATTGTCTCTTAATCAAAAATCTGATACGAATATGTGTTTTATGAAAATTTACGATTTCTATAAGAGCTCTACTTCTACAATTATACAATTGAACCCCAAATGTAGATTATAGTACTATTTATTGCCTTTTTTGTTCGAACTACCAAAACATTACTTCATCCTACATGCACAAGTTCAAGATTCTAGTTTTAAAAGTACAGAAATCAGAACAAACAAAGTTTTTAGTACGATTGTTTCATAATATTGATGAAATGCGAAATATAAAGATTCTAGCTCTAAAAGTATACAATATAAATATTCCGACAAGTGGTTCGTAGTTTTGCACACGGAAGGATAGGAAGGATAATCTCCATTTGATGGTGAAGCTTTCAAAAATAATTTATTGACCCAAGTTTCATGAAGTTTCGGGTAGGGCATTCATATCAAATATTCAATGTTCGAATGAAAACATTATTTCCACCCTAAAAGTCATTGAGAAAATTTTAATAACATAATATTATTATTATTTTATCAGAAAGGAGGCCTCTAGTTTTCAAATCTTCTAATTAGCCTTTCCACACTCTTCCAAATGTCGTTGATATTTTCTTATGCCAAAGTGTAAGACTCGTATTTTTGATATTTTCTCTTTTCTTCCTTCAATGTTTTATCAAACAAACACCACCCTACCTCCCTCTCAACCATTTTACTTGGCGGCCTGTATTTTCCGCTTCCTGTTATCATTGGCCTCTGACTCTGTCTCTTTCTCTCTTCTACTCTCCCACACCTTTTTTTGGCCACATTAACATTGTTACCTTGACTAGATGCCAAATAACTTTCTTTCTTCTTTGCCACATTTTTCAGGCGCAAATTTTATTTTGGCAATTGGCCAAATGCATTTGTGTGTGTGTGTGTATTTGTGCATTTCGAGTCCTAGACACACATACACATATATTTGTTGTATATTTTCATTAAAATTCAAATCAGTTTCCATTTTTTTCGAGTATTTCAGTGTTATTTCATTTTTGAGTATTCAAGAGTCATCTGGGAAAAAAGTAGTAGACAAGAGTACGGAGAATTAGGTCACCAGTTTTTGTTTTGTACTTGTACTCGCATGGACAATTGAAATGAAATTTTATGAAATTATATTTGAGTGT